AAGAACTGTAATCAATTCTGTTCATCAAAAGTTTTTTTTCGAGTTAGTTGACATTATTTTTGGGCCAGTACATGCTAGCTTCAACTTGACTGAAAGGCAAGATGTAAAACTGACTTTCTTTGCACCTTTCAGAGTATTGACTAGTTCCACACTTACTTGGCCTTAAATTTTGTGACTGTTCCAGCACTTCATTTCTTGTCTGATTTCTTTGATTTTTCTTCCGATTTCTATCAATGACAACTATGAGGAGGATAAGCAGTAGTAAGAGTCCCACGGATAAACTGATGATAATCGCTAACTCCGCAGCCTCTGAATTTGCACCTGTTCAAAAAGAAAAGTAGAAATTTTCAAATGCATTTCACAACTCAAATAATTTAACAAGGATGTCATGACATATTTTCAGTTGCCCTATTTTTTATCATTTAATTAAAGGTTGTCTTACGATTAGGAATTGCAACTTAATTTGGAAGATCATTGAAGATTCCAAGCACAATGCGACATACAGCATAGGCTCAACACAAGCCGTCCTCACAACTTTCACCACAAAAATGAAGCTCTCAAGTGAGTGGAACAAGCCACAATTTCGTCCCACAGCATATTAAAAAAATAATAGGATGATGGTGTATGAGATGTCCCTAGCTTCAGAATCACAAGGTTTGTGCAAGCAAAAATAAAAATCAACTCAATCTAACTGCAAGTTTAATAGTACCACTACTGTAACAAGGGCCACCTAGAAAAAGTTGACCAATAATATTTTATTGGTCAACTTTTTCTAGGTGGTTTTTCCTGTAATCCAATTATTGGATTACAGGAAAATAGTTAACTGATGCATTTCGAAAAAGTGACCCTGGATACAGTATAGTTTGATCTCTACATTTAGTATTTCTCTTTACCTGAAGGACATGTATAGGAACAGCATTTCCCAGGAACAGGTTTGTAATTCTTGCATGTTGGAATCGCACATTCTGCTTTAATACAATCTTCGGCCTGGCCAAAACTACAGGTGCAATGCAGACAAAAATTGTCCTCCTTTGGCTTTGGCACAAAAGAAGCTCCATTTTTGATACTGTTTCCATTTATATCAGTGCAAAATGATTCTGAAGAGAAAACAGAATAAAATAGAAGATTACCAACAGCAACGAGTTAAATGCACCAAAAACCACAAAATCTGGAAATATTTACAAGAGCTCCATGAAAGTTTCTACATTAGTGCTGAAAAACATATACTAACAAGTCTCTTTTCCAGAAGATTTTTTTCCTGACAAGAAAATTTCGAGGAAGGTTAAGATAGGTTATAGTTTTCCCACACTAGGTAAACTAGTGAATCCTTTAGTGCTACTATAGGAAAGAGCATTTTACATGGTCCTGAAGGAAGAATTGTTATGACAAAACTTTGGACTAAACCCAAATAGTCTGACAGCTGATTGCTTCAACCCTTTCTTCAACTGTGCTATTCAAACAATCCTCAGAGTACTGATGTCCA